CCCCAAAACCCCAAAACCCCAAAACCCCATGACTAACTAATAATCTGATTTAAATGAATATTAATCTAAGGTTGAGTAATTAATTCTCTGAGAGAATAAATAATTGAAAACTTACTTATAAATATGTCAAAAACTTTCAAAAGAGTTTCAAATGAGAGTATCATTAGTGATATAGACTTTATATTATCAATGAAAAAAAAACCTGCACCAGATGCTAGTCGGAAGTAGCTGAAGGCTAATAAGCCTGGGAAAAATACTCTTCTGCTAAATCTTGTCAATAGAAATAATGATGTGGTTAAAATAATAAGAGATAAAAATAATTTAAATAATTAGAGAAAAAGATTAGAAGAGTCTTTGATAGTATCTCGTCAGACTCTCAGAGATAGAACTCCTTAAAATCCACACTATAACTAAAGATCATAGGATGAAGAACCTTTGGATTCATTTAGGATAAAATTGTTGTAATAAAGAAGTAAAAAATAGAGGAAACCCTACAATGTATTATACTCAAATAGATAACTGATAGATAAGGTGAGAACTCAAATGCTGTAAGATAAGCTTGAAGATAAAGAAACAGAAGTTGCCTTTGATGATTCACGTATCAAGCTAGATAACAGAGAAAAATTGATGATTAACAAAAATTTCAATGGATTATAAGAATATAATTAGTTCAGGAGATTAAACTTAAACTCAAGTGAAAGAAATGATAAGTTCATGTGTGGAGCAAAAACAAACACTAATAGTGCAATTAAGATGGCAGACTCAGCTAGAACCGAAATTATGGAAAGAGGATATCTGCCAGTTGTTAGAGAGATTTCCTGCTAAAATGATTAATCTATCAATAATGAATATAGACACTAGTCACCACAAAGAAATCAATAATAATCACAATACATGGGGATTTTTCCTAATAGAATTCAATCTCAAAGTAAGTAATCATCTAAGCAGAAAATACTTGATAAATATGGAAGTCATGGAGGCTCACCTGACTACACTAAAGATCTTTAAATTCACATTACACCTTCTCACGAAGTTAAGTCTTACAACATTGTCAACTTTAAAATTCAAAAAGTCAACCCATATTAGATAATGGCTAAAATCTTTGATAATAGGAGTGTATTGACGAATGCTTTTTCAAGTACCACCAGATCTTCTGGTTTCAGTCTTGATAACCCTGATTTAGACACTAAAATGAGACTTAAGACACAATTTCATGTAAAAAGGGATCAAGATTATTACTCATCGATATACGGCCCAAATTAATCATTAAAGAGACCAGTCAGTTAAGTCAAAGACTTTAAGTAATTCTGAATAAAAAGTAAAAAAGCAGATAACTCATAAAATAGCTTTGAATATGGCTTGATATATAAATATTGCTTTTTATTATGATTTTTGAAAGTATTATGAAATTAATTTAATAATCAAGATTTATTAATTAAAGCACACACATTACCATTCAAGTGGATGGAATTAATGAGCATCACAGTAATAGCACTTCAGCATTCACCCTTATTCTTTGATCAAACTGTGTTTCCTCAAACTCTTATGCTTCAGCTTATTTTTATTATTCCTTCATATTCTAATTATAATTCCCTATTATGGGGTTTTTATTAACTTAGCTCTCGATGTATGTTTGCTCTAATAATTAACCTAGTGGTCTGAATTCACAAGGTGTAATGTTTTCAATATTAAGTTATGCTTGCTTATCTTGAATATGTACAGGGATAACTAATCCTTCTCCTAGCTTGACAAGTTTGAATTATTTTAAAGTCTTGTCTTGCATTTTATGCAGCAAAAACCAACTAAAGAAGTTCACATCTTTGAAGTACTCTAGCTTTCCAATTGCCAGTTTAAGGGTCTCGAATTATTTCGCCAACTTTTTAAAAGGATACTCAGTATTTTGATTGATTAGAATAAAAGATGTGACTAATCTCACTTAATCAACTATTCTCAATTTGATTCTTTCAATATCAACTTTAGTTTCATCTAAATCTTCTTGCAAGGATTATTTTGCATATTCAGTCATGTGATTAGCTATTTGCTAAAAGAGGATTAAACAAACTTTTTGCTAGTATTTCTTTTCAAGATAAAACAAGAAGCAGGCAAACGTGTTTTAAGTTTTCATTTTCACTTCCACATAAGACTTAATATCAAATAGCTTATTGCTCATTTGATGTTTTGTCTGTGAATGTCCGAATTCCTCTATCATTTTTAAGAATCCTTTTTAATCTTTGAATGTAACCTAGATTTAATTCATAGTACTGGCTAGTAATTCATGAGTGAGATGTACTAGCTGATCTAAGTCAAGTGGAATGTTCAGTTTTAAATTGCCTTTAGTATATTTTTAAAGTACTTTTTTTCTTTCATCTGGCTCCATCTTATCAAAAGGTGGAGGCATCGACGTTAGCTTGTAGGATTAAAATTACTAAATTAATACTTGAATTTGCTAGTCTCTTTTTCTATATTTATTCCAAATAGGAGTCCAGTAAGATTAAAGTAGATATCCTTAAATCTTTTAAAGTCCAAGCTCAATGATTTCCAAACTTATTTGGCTACTCTCATGGACAGCTTAATGACGAAGCTAAACCAAAAATTTTGGGAAGCCAAGTTCCTCAGCAATATTTTTCATTGCTAATTTTCCTCCTAATTTACTCTTTTTATATTAATTAGTCTTTGCACCCATTTCAACTAACTAAATCAATCTAAAAATTAGAGCTGACATATTAATATCATTCTGAACTAAATCACTTTTTGCTCTATTTCCTATTACTGCTCCTAATTGCAAAAACTAGATCAATATCAACTTTTGCATTTTTAGGTATTTTAGTTAATCAGCTCCAACATTTTTCATTAACCAGTAATTTATGATTTTCAATGCCTCTTAGAGATCTTCTGTCTTAACCTTTAGTAAGTCAATACTATCACTTTAGAGTTCATATTGAGAAATTTTTCCAAATATGAGATGATAGCAGTTTATCCATTCACCCCAATTCCGCCAAGGGCACATTTTTAGTTTCATTTCTATTTACTATCAATTACAATATAATTTAAACTGAAATTGAGATAAATTAATGACTCGGGGTTTTGGGGTTTTGGGTGCTCGTGATGACTTC